TTAGATTTTAAATTTTTAATCACAAAATCGGAATTAAAAATTTAAATATCAATAATTTATTTAAAAAAAAAAAAAAAGTTGGCAACCCTAAAACTGACACTGACTCGGCATTTCACTTTTCGTATTCCGCAAAACGGTAAATCGCCAACTTTGAGAAAATTTTTATAAAACTCTAGAACTTAATTTTAACAATATGTAAGTAAATTATTAAAAGGTAAGTAAGCTCAGTCTAAGTACATATGTATATGACACTGTTGTTATTACCAATCTTTTTTTTTTTTTTTGCGTTAAACATTCCAATTTCAAACTTTTGCTTTCATAAAAAAAAAACATTGGAGGAAATACATAGCTGTTAACATTACTGTTAGCTTCACCGAGCGTTTGGCCTTTTTTGACATTTTAGCGTAATTAAAAAACCTTACTGCTTATAAAAATAATATTTAAGTTGTGGAGTGTAGGAATTGAAGTTTGTCTCTTTCATGTTTGCTCTCAAAAAAAGATTTTTTTTTACCTAAAGCAACAACATAAGTATAAAAAAAATTGTATGAGAATGAATTGATTTATGATGGCGAATAAAATCTATGCACAACTACGATTAACAAACGAACGACAAACGAAGCGATACAAAATCTACTTATCATTATACTACTTAATGTATAAAAGGTATAGAAAAATATGGCTGTCGTATGTACAAGGGTACATAATTTGTTGTTGTGCGACAAGTAGAGTTAAACAAAAAGTTTATAATAAAACAGCTTGTCGATAAAATTCTAAACAAATCAACACTGTATGTGTAAGATTAAACAGAAATCAATAAAATAAATCAGCACTAACTAAAAGAAAGATATAAGAGTAGGTAAAAAAAAACATGTGCGTTTCTCTTGTTAACTACTCAAGATTAACGCATAGAATTAGCAGTGAAAACTAAAAGTATACTACATACATATATGTACATACATATAACGCATATGCATATACTATTTCTTACTCAATTATCAATTATATACAATTGTGACGCTACTATGTGCGTGCATTTGTGCTTCCGTAGTATGAGTGTGGTGTGTGTTAGAGACGTGGTGCATTCTATGTATTAGCGTACCACCACTACCAACATAGAACAACCGAACATCACTATTGTTATCCATCGGGGCAAAATTACAATGTGGCAACAAAGAAGCTGTCTACTTTGTTTGGCTGCCTGCCTGCCTGCCTGCCTACAGCTGTTGGTGCTGTGCGTGTTGGGGTTGCAATTGCGCATGCGCATTGTTGCCATTATGTTGTTGTAGATGTGGTGGCGGTGGATGCCTGCGCCGGAAAAGATTACTCAATATTTGTTGCTCCAAATCTATGGCGTTCGCTGTGTTGGCGCTATTATTGATGGCCTCCTGTTGCTGCTGCTGGGTACTGTAAGGTATTTGGGAAGTGGGAGGTTCAGTCATGAGTGCCGTAGCTGCTGCTATTGCCGCTGCTGCTGCCGCCTGCTATTGTTGTGGATGTTGTTGTTGATTATGTTGTTGTAGATGTGGTGGCAATTGCACACCACTGCCTTGTGGTGGCGGTACAGGCAGACCGGCGCCTGGTGGTACAGACACCTGTGGCATTGGCGGTTGTCCGTATACACCACCGCCGGGTGGTTGTGGTAACATATGATGTTGCGCGGCAAGTTTCGGGCCATCTTCGGCTTTTTCCTCTTCACGACGCTTCAAACACGCCGCTTTCGGGTTCAGATTACGTTCGCGTACTTGCTGTTCCAGCGTCATTATCACTTCCACGGCCATATTTAGTATGCCGAGTTTCGTCTGCGGTTTATCCGATTTGAGGTGTGTCATACACATTCGTCCCAGTTCTTTTAATGCTTCGTTAATGTCACGTATACGTATTCGCTCTCGCGCGTTATTCGCTTGGCGGCGTTCCTTTTCGCGCATCGCTTTAACGGCAGGTTCTACGTCATCATCATCCTCGGCAGATGAGCAATACCGACGTGGTCGTTTGGAGCCCTTCCCTGAAGCTCCTTGCTGATTGTTATGTGTTGCCTCCATTGAGCTAGTCGGTTTGCTATCGGGACCGTCCACAATACCTCCCATGGCACCGCTCATTGATGATGTAGAGGCACCGCCACCTGAGTTAGCCGCTGCTACTGACATTGCAGATGTTGCAGCGGCGGCTGCTGCCGCTTCTTTTCGTTTCTTTGATGACTTCGATGTGGTACCAGTTGCACTTGAAGTTGCCGTTGTTGTTCTTTCCATTTTGATTTGTGGTACTGTGGATTGGCTGCCATTTAGACCACTACCGACTGCATCAAGTGGCGGACCATTACCTGCTAGAACTTCATGTGGTGAATGTAGATTTGAGACGCCACTTGTGCTACCAACACCGCCAACCATATGAGAGGGCGGCGAGGTTGGCACAAAACTAGATAAGCCATCCATGTTGTCCATGGCCGAAAGAGCTGCTCCTACACCGCTCAGCAGTTCAGGCTCACAATGATTGCGTAACACATTGAGCGCGTCATCAAGACGTTCCTCCATGCGCGCACCCTGGAAGACAGCTGCCATTGTATGCAACCCCGATGGGCCAACGTCGGTTCCATAACTACCGGTAACACCCATGCCACCTCCAACAGAATTTACATTACCCCCAGTACTATTGAGAACCGCTCCCCATGGTGCTCCACCACCATTGCTGCCAACAACTGATTTTTCCAGCAGTGATTGTGTTAAACCACTTTGCGTCAAAGGCGGTGGGGAGTTTACTGGCGTTGAAGGATTTGAACTAAAACTGCTAATACTTTGATCGGCAGCGGCCGCAGCCGCAGCAGTCATATACATATGCTGTCGCAAAGATGCAGTCGAATTTCCCGCAGTTGCAGAAGGGCCCTTCGGTCCCAGACCCATACCGGCAACACCAACGCCTACACCAAAGGCATCAGATTGTACCGCTGGACTGTGTTGTTGGCTGTGATGAGAAAGCGGATGATGGCCATGAGCATTTGCCGTCGCTAAAGTATTGTGTTGTGGCGAATTGTAAAGCGTCGCTGGCGAGTGCGCCGCAGGACCACTGATTTGTTGCATATTATTGCTACCACTACGAAAAGAACTCATTGGTGGCAGTGATGTAGGCACTGGACTGTGCATGCCCACACTATCAATAGGTAGCCCGCCACCCATACTATTGCCACCACTCATACCATGATGCTGTTGTTCAGGATTGTGGTGTTGCTGTGGTGTTAAGTGATGCGGATCCAGCGGTCCGTTGTTTTGATATGAGTTTGGATTTCCGTAGCCACCAACGGTTGACGAGTACCAGCCTCCACCGGGACCGCCACCAGCACCAGGTGGAACACCACCACCACCATTTCCGAGATTTGTGTCAAAATACTGATTTACTCCAGCTCCGGCATCACCGAAACGATTACTACCTCCTGGGGTGTCATGCATAGGATTGAAGTCGTCGTTAGGGTACATTCCATTTTCCATGCCCAGACCGCCATAGGGTGATTGATAGCCGCCATTTCGTTCAGCACCGCCAGTGCTTGGTTGTTTGTTTGCGATTTTATTAAAACAATTCTGAAACACCTCGTAAAGGTGCATGGGCTCGTCATCACTGGTTGCCATTGTCGGTATAAATGCGCGTTATATGTTTTCCTTAGTAATAAGTAGCTTAGAGAAACAATTACCTGTAAATATATGTATCATTAGAATTACAATATACTTTTATATTGCGGTACGGCGTGTTCCCTTCTGCATTCAATCCAAATATTTTAAAAGTATTAAATTTTTAACCAAATTATTTTTCTTCATTATAAATGTAGTTTAACAAAGATAATTCATACAATTGAATATTCAAATTTCTCTAGGAAATGTATTATCTCAATAGATAATTTAATACTTTTAATATTAGCTTACGTTTATTTTACTCTAAATATAATTTATTCACAAATTTCAAGCTCTTTTACATTATTGAAATTTAAAGCACAATTAAAAGGATACGTGGCCTATAAAACCTCCTTAGGTTTCACCTCCTTTAAATGAATTTTATAACTCATTAAAAATTTACGAGTTGTTATTGAACTACTAGGGAAGCCACCTTAAATATTTCACACCAAAAATCACATCTACTCACGTTTCAACTCCTTTGTTGGTTTTCTTTTCTATTGTCTTCGTAGCAGTTGATTTCTTGTCTCTTCTTCACCCCTATATATTATCGTTGAACAGGTATGAACGAGCTTAGTTCGCAAGAGTAAAGTTCGAAGAAACTTCCTCGGTCTTTGAACGTGCACACAGAAACACAAACAACTTTTACACGGTGTAAGGGGTATGTTCTAGCATGGGAACTTACAGGGGTTCTCGATACTTTTTAATTAGGCAGCATAGGCTGCGCAATGTGAGGTAGGGACCTCAATATTATATCGTCACTATAATTTTTCAAATAATCACTTTATGAAATATAATAATGAGCTGTTGCAGCTTCAGGTTGCGTTTTGGACGAATGTTGATGCTGCTGTTGCCGTTGGCCACAGCTCGGCTCGCTCGCACGCACGCACGATTCTTATTCAATGGCTTTATTGCCCTCTTCGATGCGTCATTACATAATCCAAAAGGCGTGCGAACATTTTTCTGATATTACACTACACTTTTTACACGATTCTAATTAAAAATTGTATAATTCTATGGGAAAATTGTGCAATTTGCCCCAACAAAACCCCACCAAAAATTTTGATATTAGTAAACTATTGACATAGAAATGCACAAGAGAAAATGGCGGCGTATTAGTTCACTTCGTTCAGTTTGCTCGAGTTCATTTCGTTAAGTATTTCGTTTACTTTCGAGTTTTCTTTCGTTCGGTGGGTACAGGCTTGTTTAATTTTTACCTTCAAAGGGTTGCCTAATATTTCTAAATATTTATGTACGTTGATTCGTTAGAGTGGAATAACAATAATTAAAAATTTATTATCGAAGTTCATATAGAAATGTGGTTTGCAAACATTTCAATAAAACTCATTCATTTAGGATTTTAAACAACTCGGAATACAAACTAATAATTTTTGTTTTTATTATTACATTTAAAATATATACTTTTAGTTCTTAAACCCAAATTATTAAATTATAAAATTCACAACCCTGTTTCAAATCAACTGTGATAAGGCATATCATCCTAAAAATTTTGATATCAAGTGATATTAACTAAATCGATAACCAAGGATGTAAGAAGATTTTAATATAAAAAAAATTAGTAGAATCAATTAACGTCTTAGAATATTTATGATAAGCACTGCGGGCAGCAAACATAAAATATGAGCTATAATATAATTAAATTAAATGAATATAATGGAAATTAAAAAAAAAAAGTTTACCCTATTAACATTTTGTCCTTGTACTGTTTACTTTCCAAATTAATTTATTTACAATATTTAAATTAATATATATTAATTATATATTATATTTTGACAATCATCTCTGTTTGTGGTGAATTGTTAAATTGTTGAAAAAAGCACACGTGTTTGGTGCAACCCTGTTGAGACAAATGGTGAATCAAAATAAATATAAACAAATCAAATTTGCTTCAAGCAGAAAAACAAAAATATCAACACAAAATTGTCTTAAGAAATGTCGCTTAAACTGTTAAAACAAAGTTTGGATATACTAGATGAAACACCAACAAATAATGAAAAAGGTGTGTATGATGACAAACGCGCGTTGTAATTGTTGAATTAATATTATCAAAATGAAGCAGCGACTTTGACTTGCTAATCAAAAGTTTTGTTTCAATACTGACCATAATAAGCTTGAAAACATTTTGCAGCTACACAGAAAACAGCAAAAACTCTTCCGAGGAATGACGACTTAAGCAAACCCAAAAGGAAACAGACAAACAATCAGCAACATCAAACTTTAATGTCTATAACCAAGGAAAAAAAGAATATAGAAGATGTGCGCAAGGAGTTGCAGCCCGACCAGAATAAAACAAATACAAACCTGAAACGGTTATTGGCGCTTTCGCAAAATACAATTACTCCCAACGATGCTAATAAGGTGAGATGTCATGATTAATTAGGATTATTGGTATTTCATCAATAAAATTGCAGATTATCAAGCGAAACAACAAAGGCAAAACAATAAAGACGGCAAAGAAACCTAAAGTGCTGAAATCAATCTTTACAGAGGAAGACTTTTTGGCTTTCGAAAAAGAATATTTTCCAACGAGCTAATATTGTGACAATTCATTTAAGGAAAATATTTATTTTTAGTATATAATCAAATTTCTGGTTAATAAACGCTGTACATATACAATTTGTTAATTTTTATTTGAAACTTTTTGTAAAATTTTAATACAAGCCTGACAATTATACCAGGATTTTCGACTTGTCACAAATGCCACTGTGATGCACATGCGCATAGAGAAATTGAGGGTTTAAATTCCAATCAGCGACTTCAGACCGAATGTGTCATTCAGCGCATATCTCTGCAAATAGTTAAAACACCATAGTCCGGGGCGGTAATCGGTCTGGTTGTCATTTAGTACGCCGATGGAAAACGAAAGTAAAAATCAATTATTCATAAAGGGTGTGAGTTGTAATAAAATATAAATTCGTTTGAAAATTCAACGTGCAGCATGTGATATTCAAATAATATGGGCATAAAGTTTGCATAAAACAATTCCTGTACGTCACAGCAGTAAATAAAAACGCACGTTGTTACACAAAAAACGGTATGTGTTGCTGAAAAGATTGCCAACTTACATACAGCAAGGATAGTGAATCAAAACCAGTATCCTGCTAAGTGCTGTTTATTGATTTTTTGAGAAAAATAATGTAACATTATTCGAAGTGCTTGCTAATTATATTATTTTTGTAAATAACTGAAAGTAAGTTACAATACAATGTATACCTTGAGTATAATCATATAAATTTGAATTTACTTAAAGTTAATTATTATTATATATGCAGCAGCAATAATCTTTTTTTAATTATATTGAAATGTTTTTAAGCGTATTATATGGTACATATGTATTATAAGCATCAAATATATAATGTTATAAGCCAGTTTTAAACAAAAATTTCTTTGGTTTTTAACATTGAGTGCTGTTGATCACTAGTAGGCTTCCGTTGTAAAATCGATTTGCATACATGAACCTTGTTGCAATTACATATATATGTACGAGTATATATGTATGTTTAAGCGAATTACTTGAGGTCTCAAATTACTTTCAGCCCACTTAAGTACGAAGAAATAATTTCAAAGAAGTTATTCATTTTTCAAAGTGATTGTTTATTATTTACATACGAATATAAGTAAGTTTGACAAGTATAAGGCGTTTTTGAGGGTCCTTCCGTAAAATATACTAGACAAACATTTGGTGTACAAACACATATATTATTTACATATAGGCACGTAGCTTTATTCATCCATATAAGAATTTATCATACTTTGTCATACCATTATGACTCAAAGGTAAATTTTAGGCGAGTAATTGTGTGCATGTATATAAACTTGTTTAAGTGTTGCTTAAATATAATAATTTTAAATGAATATAATAACAATAAAGTTTGGTTTATAAATAAAATTTTTTATTAAAAATCTAAATTTTAATTTAAGATTTTTGGAACCAAAAATTGAAAATTTAATTTTTTAATTTAGGATATAAATTGATTTTGTTGAGCTTAATTTTTAGTTCCAAACATCTTGGATTAAAAATTGAGAAAACATGTCGCTTCGGTGTATAATAGTTTTGTTCATCAGGAAAACGAAATGAGTTAAAATCCGAGTGACTGTCTGTCCGTCCGTCCATGCAAGCTGTAATTTGATACTTCCCTATAAAAATATAAAGATCAAGTTTGTAGATGGACGTAATCGGAGCACTGCTATGCCCACAAAACGCCATTAATCGAAAACTTATAAAATGCAATAGCTAAGCACTAAGTTAAGATATAGAACTGTAATTTGGTACAGGGGTTCGCAGTTTGAGAAAATTGGCGTGGTCCCGCTGTAGAATAGGTTTATTGTACATATATCATAAACCACTGAAGCAACAACTAAATTCGCCTAAAGCAAATATTATACAAACTTCTAGAGAATGTAACAATGTAAAAATGGTTGAAACCGTCGACTCGCCATATAGCGGTTCTAATAAAAACTACTAAAAGCTTGATTCGATTCCACGACAACCATTAAGTGATCTCGATGATAACTTACCTGAACCTTACCACACAAACGGGAATTAGATAACTCTTGGTAAAGCTCCATAAGCGGACAAAATGGAAGTCAAGGTTCAAGGTTTTGTCTAACTTAAAGAGACATGATGACAGAGTTGAAATTCAATTCAATGGGCATACATCTTCTGACCCGAAAAAGTTTGCGAGCTTTTTTAGCCTGCAGTTCACACTGCACCCTTCGGTAGACTGGCTTTGCCTGTTGTTGTGTTACCCTACAACTGCGCAAAATGTGAAAAGACTACGCACCACTTACTTTCACCAATGAGAAGATTGCCGTTAACAAAGCATAATTCTTTAAATCAATTGGCCCTGATGGAATAAACAGGCTAATGCTAAAGTACCAAGGGAGTAAGCTATCGCATCAAGGTTCTCAATCTGACCACTCTTCAAATACCCGATGTGCGGAAAATCGGAAGAATGGTCCCACTACTGAAATCTGGGACACCCGTCAACAAAGGGTATTATCGCTCAATAAATCTCCTTTCCTCAGTAGTGAAAACACTGGAAGCCTTGCTACCACCAGTATGGCTTCCGCAATGTGTTCAGCACCCCCACATCACTTAGCCATATAAATGCCCATATAGATCAAAGTCTCAACCAAAAACTATCCTTTGAGAGAACGATCCACAATGCTACTTGAGGACATCGACCAATCCACGCTCCCTCCAGAGTTAAAGAGATGGACTATGAACTACCTGAGCGGTCGAAAATCATGCGTACTATTTCGATGTTCAGGATCTCGCTTCTTCGCTGCAACAAGAAGTACAGAATTGACCTTAATACTGAAGTCGATGGCGTTAAAATTCGGACTGTATTGCCAAAGTACAAAAGCCAAACAAAATCTCCAAGTCGCTAGCCGGCAGGACGTGGGGCAATATACAAGGCAAACGGTTCTTAACTACGCCGCACCAATCTAGTCGCTTAGACGCAGTGAAACTCAGAAGAGGAAGCTGCAGACATGATCGAACATAGCACTCCGGACTACAACAGGATGCCTCTTGATGTCTTCCATCGAACATCTGCAAAAAGAAATTTCTGCCATGATGTTTTCGTAGAAACCTTAATACTTAATAAATAAACACAGTTAGCTAATTAGCACACGAATTAAAATCATTGTAACCTCCTTACGAATAATTCCAAATTACTTTCTGATTAAATTTTTGGCAATAAGTAAATTATAATTTTTGTTTACAGATCACGAGCGTTATGCGAGTTCCCGACATCACATTAACAGCTGGAAATGCTGCACAATTCACGCACAACTCTAATAACCCAACTACACTACAACAACAGCAACAACAACAACTGACAACAAGCGCATCGTCGGAGGAGTCCTTACGCTCTTTACAACCGGAACGTAAAGAGTTAAATAAGAACTGGACGGCGAATGGAGTGAATGCCACGTCTACCGGTTTCTTCGATTACTTACCTAGTGCTCAGTTTAGTGACAACTCAGTGTATACCTCTTCGGCCGATGAGTTTGTGCAACGTGCATTGAGCTCTTCCCTGGCAGTGCCGTATGAATATACCAATCCTGCGTTGGTCGGCAGCAGATATGAGGAATACTACCAACGAACGAATCCACAAACACAAAATTATCTAGAGAATTACGGTGGTAATAGCAATAGTGCCTATAAGGGATTCCAGGAGGTTTATGTTAATCGTGCCGCAATCGCTTTGGATGACTACGAAAAAATCAATGTATGTTTTTGATTTACTGTTAAATTAAATATTTTATATACTTTGAAAACATTTTTTATTTCAGCGTGCAACAAAATTCGCCAACTCTAGTTCCGTTACGAACTCTGTGGTGCAACAGAGCGATAATTATAACACTAGCGCAGTTAGAGATGTGAGTCAAAGCGATTGCCACATCGATTATAACAACGAGATGAAAAAGGATATGAACATTACCGTTAATGAACCAAATTCAAATCATCAGCAACAAGTAAGGCCAATAGTTTCGACTGAGGAGTGTTCCGTCGGAAATGTGAACGATTCCGAAAATTATTATAACGACGAGTCAATGCTGGATTTGTGTAACGAACGCGATCAAAAATCAAATGTCGAACAGCACAATGATGATTTAGGTAAGCTGATAATCTTTAAACATATATGTACATATGTATGATGTACTTCATTGCTCTCCCGGAACTGGGGTCTAGGAAAACGCGTGTCTATATCCGACCAAGGTCTCACAATACCATTTGAATCCACATTTAGTGATTTTGTTATCTCGCTGTAAAGCAACATTTAACTAACCTTCAAATGGTTACCTAAATGAATTAATTCATACCGATCTTCCAGTCACAACTTTCTTTTCCAATTTACAAGCTGTGTTCCAAATTAAACAGGACTTTTTGAATCTCGGGCCCCCTGGTTTCGGCATCTATATGTCGACTAGTGCGTTAGAATCTGCTATCTCTATCATTGAAATTCATGGAAATGGAATTGAACATCTCCAAAACATCGATTTATCGCATTTGGTCCCAACATTTTGCATGATTTGTTCCGCACAAATTGACGGACTACCAAAAATTGCTCAGAATCCAACATTCGATGGACATCGGGGACCGATTATTTGACCAAAAATCACATTTTAACCATTAATCACTTTCAACCATTAACATTTCACCTGATATGTCACGGTGCGACTTCTTCCTTTTCGGAAAACATAATCTAACCTAACTTACATTCTCGGGATCGCTTGAAGATTTGGGTAATTATTTTATCGTTGAAACGGTTTGGTGGGAAGTTCAGTTAGTGAACACATGTAAACTTTTTGTTCAATACGTAGAACCAACTTCAATATCGGGCCATTTATTTATTGGCAGATTACAATTATAAGGTGCACCCAAGCCACTCAGAAGACACCTCTCAAAATAATGTTCATGAGAGGATTATGTACATACATATATGTATAGCAGATAAGTCTCCTATAAAATCCACTATATAATTTTGTATAAAATTATAAATTTTTCCATTATTCCATTTCAGATGAATATCTGACATCACCAACTTCATCGAGCGTCTCTTTGAGCACACCACAACGCTCCTACTTTCCGCGTGGTATAATCAATCCGAACTATCCTGGATTTCAACATTTAGCGCACACACTCTCTGAACATTTCATCGGTTGTACACCATCCGATTCGTATGACAGTGATATGTCCGAATGTGAAATGGAGTTGAGCGCCGACAGTTGTGAAGATCTGCCCAGCGAGGAGCAGCAGGCAGAGTTGAATACGAAACTGAATATCTACAATAACAATAGCAACAGCAACAGCAGCCACAAGAGAGCACAAGTCGAGAGTCAGCAATCTACAGACATTGCACAGCAACAAAGGCAGCGGCAACCACAACCTAACCTAACAGTTTATACCGATGCTAACAGCAATAGTGCCACCACACAGCATATGAGCAGCGATGAGCTCCAGCAACAACAGCAACATCAACAAGAGCAACACAGCAAATTGGGCGCACTGATCGCAAACGAATTGCACGATAACTTACGACAATTGCTCACTTTGAATGTGCCCGATAATTACTCCGATGCCTATATTATAAACTCTGCGGACAATTTTGCTTTTCGTTGTGATCAGAAGTGTCGATTAGTCGCACAAATCTCCGATGAGAGACAGCAGGTGTATGGCACCACACCAGACATTTTATTGAAGAATTCTTCTAATTTACGCGTAGAAGAACTTTCGAAGAAGGAGAATCGTCCGGATCTATTGCGCGGTGTAAGTCCACAACCACTGCGTAAACGCACCGAAACGGCTTTTGAAGATTTCAACCAAATTGCCCGCATCGACAATTCCGTGGAAAAGCGAGAATTGGAAAGAAAAGAGGTGCAAAAGGACGTACCCAGTGAGCGTCGTAGCAATGCTACAACGCCAGTGCGTTCCCATGATAACGGTAAAGAGGACGGTGTGGGCTATGGTATAACACCAGTGGACATAATTGGCGATTTCGAGCAGGAGGTGGAAAGAGAATTTGGCCTTCTGGTCAGCGGCTACAGGCGTTTGGTTGAAACCAATGATGAAGGAAACGAAGACGATAATGAGGTCGGGCAGCCACAGCCAATTGAGAAGGTAATGAAAATTGCGGTCTCCAGAAGTATTAAATGGGTGGAGAACTTTTCAATATGACTTTCTTTGAAAATTAACATACAAACCATCGTAAATTTTCCAATATCTTTAAACCTTATAACAAAACACTTTATATTACTGTCGGACCTAAATAATTAATTAATTAATTAATTAAACCCTGAGATATTACAAGCGACAGTTCATAAAAGCTGCGGCTGTCATTAGCTTTCCGTCGCTTCAGAGAAGTTCAATCGCCTAATTCGCTCGTATCGTCTTTCTTTGTCATTTGTCATTATATTAATAAACCTTAACATTAAAAACCTGTAAATTTTTTCAGGTATCGGATGCGATGCTTTCGAGCGCAAAAGATCTTATTGACTCCGATAAATATGTAACGGCACTACAACAAAATAAAGAAGATGAAACCACCGAAGTTGAAGCGAAAGCAGAAACAGAAACGGCTAACAAGATTGGAGGACATGATCCAACAATGGACTTTATGGAGGACAATAATGCGGTTGACTGGTCGTATGGACGTTGCGGCGATTCGGAAGAAATAAATGCATGTCACGCCAAAGAGCGGGAATGCAATAGTCAAAGAGAGCGAGATGATGTTACGGATGTAAGCACCGTTAGCAATACAAGTAGCGCACAAATGCGACCCAAATACCAAAAAGCTTCTTATGATGAGCGTCAGCTACCGCCCGTAGCCATTGAGTACAAGCGTTGTCAGCAAAACGCACGTAACATGCGAAAATCCGCGGGGCAAAATCATGAGAAATCAGAGAAGCCCACTAAAGCGTCAGGTGGCAGCAAGATTGGACGTAATCACTCAAAAACGGGATTTACCAGTCGTTTTTTCAGTTCGAAGCGCACCAATATGGGTGGTAGCTCAAGAAACAGCGAAGAAAATGCGAATCGCCGTCGTGAGGAAGCCGAAATGCATCAATATCAACAGTTGATTAGCAATAAGGAGTTAATTTTAAGCAACAGCCGTTATACGAAAATGTCCGCTTGGGCGGAGTATTTGAAGAACTCGGTGAAAAATCATGGCGGCAAGTGCGCAAGCACTGATTTGGCTTCACCAAGTGCTTTGGGTAAGTGAGCTTTGCACGGTGTGCTTTTATGCGAAGGATCACAGTCATAAGCTGTCATTTATTTACAGATTTGTTTGATGCTTATAAAATTGGTGGAGATTTCGATATGGAAACCTTGCAGCAGCATCTTAAACTGGCTAAAGAGATTGAGAAAAAGGTGAGTGGCATATTATATATTTTATTTACATAGTATAGTATAGCATCAAACTGCTTCATTATCAGATTCGTTTGGATGTCTGGTCACAGTCCTTGCAAGACAGGTTGAAACATCTCGGCAGTATTCTAGACATAGCCATGCTGATATTAGTCGCCTTTACAAATTTGTGACAGGATAAATGCGCTTTGACGATTTATGAGGGTCTTTATGATCAATTTTATAGGAGTTCTAGTTACCATAACTGATCGGAGTTATAAACTGTCCAAGTGAGATCCCTATTAGGATTGACCATTTAATCTAACCTAACTTAATACAATATTTTGGAGCTCTTGATTTTTTTATAAGAAGAAGAAAGAGTTTTATAATAAGTTTGTCAATAGCTTATAATCCACGGACTGCCGTCGAAAACTCTTGGAGCCGAAGGGTTATTATCCATTCTGCCGCCATAACTTAGCCAGCGTAGCCGCTGTCTCTTAATTCGCTGAACCATAACTCATGAGATGTTCATGTCTCTGCACTAGTCATGTGTGACTTGGCGGGTTTGTTTTTTGTTCATCGAGAGCGGACTTTACTTCTTCTCAATTGCCTACTCAGTCACGCGCTTATTCTCTCAGTCCGAAGTAGCACCTGTTGGCAAGGGTTATTCTGCGTTGGATTTCGAGGGTAACATTATTGTTGGTGTTAATGCTGGTTCCAAGATAGACGAAGTTATTTAAAACGTAAAAGTTGTGACTGTCAACAGTGACGTGGGAGCCTAGTCGCGAGTGCGACGACTGTTTGTTAGATGACAGGAGAAATTTCGTTTTGCCCTCCTTCATTCTAGACGCATTTTCTTCGTTTTTTATCAAGTCTGGAAAAAGCTGACTAACGGCGCGGTGGTTAAGGCCAATGATTTCAATATCATCGGTGTATGCCAGCAGCTGTAAACTTGTATAAAAAATAGTATCCTTTCTATTCAGCCCTGCAGCTCGAATTATTTTCTCCAGGAGTAGACTGAAAAAGTCGCAAGCTAGATATTCGCTTTGTCTGAAAGCTCGTTTAGTATGGAACTGTTCGGAACTCTTTTCGATCCTAAAAGAGCTTACGGTATGGCTCAATGTCAGTTTACACAGCCGTATTTGCAGGGATACCAAACTCAGACAAATATGCTTAATGCTAGCACTTTTTCGTGCTGTGTAAAGCAGCTATGAAATCGATGAAGAGATGCGTCTGTCCATACTTTTTTCCAAGATTTGACGTATGGTGAATATCTAGTCAGTTGTTGAAACGTCGGAAACCCTATCAAATGTCTATTAACTGATTTAGCCATCTCCGTCTGTCCTTCCGTCCGTCTGACTGTATTTACGCGAACCAGTCCCTTAGTTTTTGAGATATCGCCCAGAAATTGTGTACGCATTCTTTTCTCCTCAAAACCCTGCTAACTTGTGGGACCCGCCGATATCGAACCACTATATTGTAGACCTGTCATAAAAACTGAACGATCAAAATTAATGCCTTGGATGGAAAATTCTTTTATTTTACAAGATATCTTCACTAAATTCGGTAGGAATTATTGTCCAAGGCAACGCTATAATCTTCGAACAAATTGTACAGATCGGGCTATTATAGCATATAGCTGTCATACAAACTGATCAATCAAAAATTATATTAGGCTTATATCTGTTTTTCTTTCATGAACCTAAAAACTCGCTAACAAAAAATTATTACGATACTATTTTTACCTATCCTAATATGCACTGTTAGTTTGTTTATTTTTCTCAGTGTACTTTGTCAACATAGTATTTGTGAAGTACATAAACATTTATAATTTTTAATAACGATTTACCTGTTCATAATTTTTGTTTTTGTTCGCCGACTTGTGCACATGATTTGCTTTCATTTGCGAAGCTGCTGGATGGCACAACGTCACTAAGCCAGCCACCAGCCGCCAGTCTATTGACTAGTAGTCAGCAAAGTGGGCAAACTGGCGCTCAGTTAGACGGCCAAGTCAAAGCAAGCGATGAACTAAACCATTCGCAACGATTCACTGCCACCGCTGACTCCAAATTTTATACACACACACACTCACACATAGTAACGATATAAAGTTTAGCAAAAATTATTGCTTGAGCGACTGCGTCGACTGAATTGGTTTATGGCTCTTTGTTGTGCTGTGTCGCTTCTGCTAAATTTATTGCTGCTGCAACAGTTGCTCTCTAGTCATTCAGCTGGTGTATTGTGGCTTGGCGCATGCTTGTGGCATGGCAGCTTAACTTTCGCAACCCCACGGCAGTGTTAACTTTGGGTTCAAGACGTCGGTTTAGTGGGTCGGTCGCTTTAACCGCGCGCTCTGTGTACTCTAGCGTCGAAGCATCTTAGACAGTTTGACTACGTTACTAGCATGAATCATAGCGCTGCTCCAGGCTAACTGTAGCATGAAGTTTAAAATAATATATAAATGAGTGTAATATATGCAAACAAAGCAAAAAACAAGAACAACAAAAATGTGAAAATATTAAAAAAAAAAATTGTTTTGAAACAAGTGTTTCAGCGCATTTTATTAAAAACAAGTTAAATAAGTAAAAGTAAACTCCGAAGTTGTGTGAAAAGCAAACGAAATAACTGTTTTTAACGCGCAATAGAAAGTGAAAAAAATAAATAAATTTATTAAGGCGTTAATTTACTGCGTGGAAACCTTGTTTAACACGCTCCTCAGTCATGGATTTCGATGGCGATAATGATTTTAGCTCACTACCAGTGCCACAAAAGCGGCGCCACTATAAAAAGGATTCGCGTTTTGTGTTTGATTTGTATACGCTGTGTTATGACGAAAACGAAAGTGTCGACACCGTTGAATTGTTCACGTCCATTGTAAATAACACAGCGGCGGATAATTGGTCTGAGAAGGTAATGATTGCGAAAGCAAATATAAAATACAAAAATATAACAAAGCAGCGGTGGAAAATAAAATTGAAATTAATTACGAAAGCAAAAACAATGTGCTCTAAAACAAAAAGTTACAAAATATTGCAGAAAGTGAAGTCATAATGGAAAAATTAATTGCTCTTTTCCGAGAATTCAACAAATTTATGAAATAAAAAAAAATATGTTATAAAAAAAATTTATGAAATAAATAATTATGAGAACAAGAAAAAACGTTACAGCACTGAAGTTAGAATACACTTCCCCAATAAAGAAGTTTGCATACAAGAGCTTAATTTTGATCGGTTTATATGACAGCTATATGTAGTGGTCCGATTTGGACAAATTCTTCAAATATTGTTGCGCTGCTACGGACAATAATTCTTGCTAGATTTTGAGAAGATCTCTCGTTAAATAAAAAAGTTTGTCATACGAGAACTTTATTTGGATTTATCAGTTTGTATAGCTGCGTTCAAAAAATAGTAAGACTTTTTAATTTAATTCTCGCATGAAGCCGCATTCGTCGAAATAGTTTCTTTTCAAGGTCGGTATAACTGTCATTAACATCTGTGCCAAATGTCACATCAAAATAATCAGTAGTGTTTAGTATACGCTAAACTTTCTGAAGAACTGCATTAAATTTTATGTGCGAAATCAAATTTCTGTTGCGATCAATTGGCCAAATATCGTGGCAAAGGTGAGCCGAAGCCGAAAAAACCACTTCAAAGCAGGTCAAAAACAAAGGTTATGTTGACAGTTTTCTTCGATTAACGAGGTGTGGTGCAGTCTGAATTCCTTCCGACTGGCACAAAAGGAATACTATCTGAGTCTCTTTTTTTTTTGCGCCACGATAATACACCCACGTATACTGCACTGATTCTTCGTGAGGTTTTCGGCAAAATTCTGTTCGAAGATTGAAAAAAAAAACAAAAAAACTTTGGCACAAGTGTATTAGGGCCTTTGGGGGGGACATCATAGAATCTGAAGAATAAATTAAGAACTTAAAATTATGAATAAAGTCTTACTATTTTTTCCTCACAGTAGTACATACTGTATATGCTATGGGCTTATCAATTTGTATGACAGCTATGTATGTATATGCAATGGTGTTTCGATGTGAACAATTTTTTCAAAGATTGTAATGTTACCTTCGAAATTATTCCTTGTCAAATTGTGTGAAGATATCTTTTCAAATACATGATATAGTTGTTCGATATTGACGGTTCTGACAAATAAGTAGCCTCTTGGGGAAGAATGGCAGTTAAAAGAGGAAGGTTTGGGCTATAAGGCGACTGATGCTTGATTTTCTAGCCGCTGTATTCCAAATAGTTTTTAACCGGTCATGTAAGATTTAGTGGAACGTTGTCATGATGGAAAACTATTGGTCACGTGTTTAGTCCCGAATTCTGGGCGGCAACCTCTTGTTTCAAAAGATACAGAGTGTTATGGATGTTCGGTTTGCCGTTGAGGGGTGGTTGACCAGGTTTCCTATATTATTTTTTGCTTTTAGGATTGCTGTACTGAATCCATTTTTCATCATCAGCCACAATCCGATGCAAAAACGACTTTTTTAACGTTCAAACAGCCTTTGTAACATACCAAAATCTTTAAATCAAAGTCTTTTAACGTCTCTTGGTTTGAATTCTAATGGCACCTAAAGATACTGCGAGCTCTTCTTGCTTTTGGCAGTAATCTTTATCAAGCAATGTACCTATAGCAATGTATTATCTCCAAATGTTTTGGTTGTCCTGGACGTTCTTAGTTTTTTTCTCAAAATCACGACTTTTAAAACATGCAAATCACTTTTGGTGTATTCGCTCAACTAGACGATAACCACAATAAAATTTCACCAAAATATGATAGCTTTCGGTTAAGGTATTCTTACACCATCTCTTGGCAAAGCAATATAGTTATAGATCCCATATATCCATAATTATCAGGATGACGAAAGTAGAAGTTTTCCGGATATTTGGCTGTCCTTCTGCCAGTCTAAGAGATATCTGTCTTAAATGTTGATACATACAAATTACCCGGGATTGTAAATCAAGCATAAAAGTAATCCCCAACAGATGTAATACACTTATATATGTCAACGATTT